GCGCCACGCCTCTCATCATAGCTGCTCAGATGTGCCACTCGGACCTGTGCCGGCTGCTCCTGCAGCAGGGGGCTGCTGCCAATGACCAGGACCTGCAGGGCAGGTGAGGTCTCCCTCCCAGCCCTCAGCCGAGCTCTGGGACCTGGGGGCCTGCTCCTCCTCCCAGCCTGGGTCTGGCGGGGAGGGGCCTGGCGATGTGCCCGCCCCTCAGCAGCCCCCTTCCCTGGCAGGACGGCCCTGATGCTGGCCTGTGAGGGCGCCAGCCCCGAGACCGTGGAGGTGCTGCTGCAGGGCGGGGCCCGGCCAGGCCTCACTGACGCCCTGGGCCAGGACGCCGCTCACTACGGGGCCCTAGCAGGGGACAAGCTCATCCTGCACCTTCTGCAAGAGGCGGCTCAGCGTCCCTCCCCACCCAGTGGTACGTGAGCACGGTCTCCCTGTGATTTCAGGCACCTCCCCAGTTTCTCTTCTTTTTTTATATCTTTATTTTGTTTATTTATTTTTATGTGGTGCTGAGGATGGAACCCAGGGCCTCACGCATGCGAGGCAAGTGCTCTCCCATTGAGCTACAGCCTAGCCCCTAGGCAGTTTCTTATCACCCCTTTCCCCCTACTGTGGGTAGTTTCAAGGTACCCCATACCTGCTGCATTATAGGAGGCTTCATGGTTCCCCTACTTGAGTCGTTTCAAGGAGCCCAAGAACATTTACAGTGGTCGGGGATCCACTCTGATTTCCGGGGTCATCCTTATTCTTAAAACTCCACCTCTCTGGGCGGGGCTGGGGCTCAGTGCTAGAGCGCTTGCCTAGCCTGTGTGAGGCACTGGGTTTGATCCTCAGCACTGAATGTAAATCAGTAAAATAAATGCCCATCAACCACTAAACAGAGCACCTCCCTCTCCTCCTAAGAAGTGGCAGCCCACCACTCCATCCTGGAAGTGCCATTGTCCTTTCTCTGGGTTTCAAGGTCCCTCCTATCAGCAAGGTTCCCTGCCTTGAAATCCCTGATCCTTGGGCAATGACCCCCACCCCAGGCCCCTGGGCCCCCTGTTGCCCTTCTTTGAGGAGAAGGGAGCCCCTGGAACTGAGTGCCTGGCCCTGCTCCCTCTCTCCCCTGCCCCTAGGGGACGACTCGGGCGAGGCGTCATCTCAGGTATGGATCCCCAGGGGCCCGACCCTCCCTGCACACACTCATTCTCCTTGGCCCCCAGCTCTGCAGAAAGGGAGGAAGAGAAGGACCCCTGCCCGTTATACCTGGGCGGACCTGTTTGGCGTTTGCTGCCACCAAGTGGCGACTGCTTGCATAATTCCCCAAACCAGGGACCATCCAGAGATGGGGCCAGTTCATGGCCCTGGGTGGGTGACCGGGGACTGAGGTTGGCGAGGGCTGCTCTGGTCAGGGAAAGGGGCTTGGCTTCTGCCTCCCCTGCACCCCCATTGTCAGTGCCTTGGCTCCACGGGGAAAGGAAACTAGTGGTCTGTTGGACCAGGGAGAGCCAGAGCCCGGGCAGGGCACAGGGAGGTCGAGGACTGCAGGGAAAGCCAGCTCACCCCCTCGTGGGGGGACAAGGGAGGACTTGGGGAAGCCAGGCCGGCCGGCTGGGAGGTTGACGGGGTGGGCGGGCTAGCGAGGTGGCCCCCACGTGCTCCTTCTCCCTCTGCCCACCAGAACTCCGTGTCCAGCCATGACCAGCGAGGGGCTGCCAAAAAGCGGAAGGCACCCCAGCCGCCGGCCAGCATTCCCATGCCGGTGAGGACGCGGGCGGGGAGGATGGGGGAGCCGGGCAGGGCTCTGGCTCCTGCGTGGGCCTCATCTAAAGGCGGTGGGCACCGGGCGGGGAGGGCCACAGGATGATCGCGAAGCCTATGAGGAGATTGTGCGGCTGCGGCAGGAGAGAGGCCACCTCCTGCAGAAGATCCGAGGCCTGGAGCAGCACAGGGACCGGAGGCAGCCGGAGGTCAGGAGGCAGCAGGCCTGGGAGGTGCATTTCTGGGGGAACATGGCCTTGCCTTTTCCACCTTCTCCACCCCTGTCTTCTTCTCCTCACTGCTCCAGCCACATGGGCTCCTCGCTGGGCCTCCAACATGCCAAGCTGGGTCCTGCCTCACGGCCTTTGCACAGGCTGTTCCCACTACCCACAATGCCGTTCCCTCACATGGCCCCACTGCTCCCTCCTAGCCTCTTTTGCTCAAAAGGCCGAACTCGCCTCCCCTTCCCAGCTTATTTTAAACTACAGCCCTGGTCGCTCACTCTTCAGCTTGCTCTTTCCATTCTTGGCTCTTACTGCTGTGGCTTGCTGTAGATTTCATTCATGTCCACCGACCCGCACAAGCCCACAGGCAGCCATGGTTGCCAGTGCCTGGCTCACAGTAGGTGCCCAATAGTTACTGAATGGATGAATATTCGGGTGAATGAATAGTTAGTGGCCCCCAAACAAAGTCTGCCCCAAAATTGGGGCCCCACAAGAACTTGTGCAGGGGATGATCAGAGTGGGGTGCTACTGCGCTAGCCGAGGGGGGCCGGAGGTAAGGCCCCGCGTATGGACCTTTGCCTCCTCCCGGCAGCCGCAGGAGGCCGAGGCCTGCTCACTCCACAGTCTGCAGAGACAGGTATGCAGGGGGGGGGGCGGGGGCAGAGCAGGCGCCCTGCCCCTATTTCCTCCTAGAGGCACCTCAGCCCATACCTCCTGCCCCAGGTGCAAGAGCTGCAGCAGCTGCTGGCGGAGAAGCAGGAGGAGAAGGAGAGCCTGGGCCGAGAGGTGGAAAGTTTGCAGAGCCGGCTGTCCCTGCTGGAGGTGAGAGCAGAGGGCAGGGGCAGGCCAGGGGCTGGGCGGGAGCCAGGAGCAAGGCCAGGTAGGGCCAGGCAGGGGCGGGGTGAGCCAGAACCAGGGTGGGGCTGGGACGGCCAGGGAGGCGGGGCCTGCAGCAGCCGGGGGCGTGGCCTGGCAGCCATAGCAGAGCCCTGCGGCCTCATAGGTGCAAACCCACCAGAGGGGCTCTTCAGTATTAATGCCAGTCCTGGTCAGGCAGGGTCTTGAGAGGCTGAGGCAGGAGGATCACAAGTTCGAAGCCAGCCTCGGCAACTTAGCAAGGCCCTAAGCAACTCAAAATAAAGCGGGCTGGGGACGTGGTTCAGTGGTTGGTGTGCCCCTGGGTTCAATCTCCAGTACCAAAAGTAAGAAAAAATAAAAAAGAAGAAGAAAAAGCTCAGCCCTTTCACGCATCCTCATAAACCCATGATGACAGACACCCTCCACTACACACAGCCCTGTGGTGGACACTTCTCCCAACACCTACACGTGAGGACTCATGTACGTCTTTTAGAACAAGCTCACCTGAGCGTGTCGTCACACACAGGTCATACTTGTGAACACACAGCCCACAGCCCGCCACATGCACAACATGCCAGAAGTACATATGCACCAGAGATATCTCAAAATGTTTACACAAACAGACAAAAGGTTCCTTTGCATACACCCAGCCATCCAGGACGGCCACATGGCCAACAACAGCAGGAACAGGCACAGGCACACGTGTGTACAGGGGGGAGCAGACACAGTGCCGACACCCCAACCCACACCCACCCACAGCCATGCTGGTGTGCAGAGCGGACAGCATGGCCCCACCCTCTCCAAACACACCCACCCCATCCTGGGGTCCCCTCGCCCAGGAGGGCAGTGTCTGCCGCACACATACCATGAAATGGGGGTTATCTGATAGAGAGTTAACATCCAAAATATGTAAGAAATCCGTACAACCCAATAGCTTTAAAAAAGCCCAGTTTAAAAATGGGCACATGGGGTGGGCGGGCAGCTCAGGGTAGAGCGCTTAGCTGGCACCATCGAAGAACCGAGAGAGGACATGGTCGGTACCCAGCAGATAGAAAGCCCTGCAGTGCTCCTGGGAGTCCGAGTGTGACCAGCTCAGGCCACCCTGGGCTTTGGGGGGACAGGGGGTGGGGGAGCAGGACCCCAAGCCACTCTGTCCCCACCCCCAGAGCGAGCGGGAGAACACCAGCTATGACGTGGCCACCCTGCAGGATGAGGAAGGGGAGCTGCCCGATTTTCCAGGTGAGCCCGGGGCCCTGCCCTCCTCCATGAATCTGTCCATTGGGTCCTGGAACCCAGGAGAGACCTCCCACCGGGGAGAGAGGGTGACGTGGGAGGGAGGGCAGGAGGGGCCTGCGAGTCATTCAGCCTGCTCCGGGGGCCCTGATGTTCCACTGCAGACCCCAACTCCTGTCCCCTGTGTCCTGGGACCCCAGGCCTGACTCTGTGCCCCCTGCCAGGGGCCGAGGCCCTGCTGTCCAGGCAGCTAAGCCCGACGGCCCAGGAGCAGGTGGCTGCACTGCAGGAGCAGGTGGCTGCACTCACGAGACAGAACCAGGAGCTAATGGAGAAGGTGCAGGTGGGGACACTGAGGCCGAGGACGTGTGAGGCCTGGGTTCCCCGGAGTCAGGGTGTGCAGGGAAGGCCGCCAGTCTGCGCTGTGCCCTGCGGCGCCTTCAGCCCTTGCCTGCTCCCAACCCCCAGATCCTGGAGGACTTCGAGAAGGACGAGATGCAGATGGAGGCGAATGGTTCTGCTGAGGTTGTCCCCCTGGTCCTCTATGACTCTCTCCGGGCCGAGTTTGACCAGCTTCGAAAGCAGCATGCAGAGGCCTTGCGGGCGCTGGAGCAGCAGGAGGCAGGGCAGGCCCCGGGGGCAGAGGCAGCTGCTCACCGCCCCCCCCAGGGCTCCGATTCGGGAGCCAAGGCGGCCCCAGAGGGACCCACAGGTGCCGAGCTAAACGGCACCGCGGCTCTGGAAGCCCGAGTTATGGGGGCAGAGAACACAGGTGAGGAGACTGCGGGAGCCGTGGAAGCCAGGACTTTGGAAGGGGCCACCGCAGTGCCCGAGGCCGAGGCAGCCGTGGATGCTGAGGCCCAGGAAACAGAGAGGGCGGGAGCCCAGGCCTCCGCAGCTGAGGCCTCCGCAGCGCAGGTGACTACAGTGAAGGCTGTGCCAGCGGGGAAGGCTGGAGCTGCCACCCCGGGGGCTGAGGCCACTGGCCCAGAGGCCACAGAAAGGAAAGCAGACAATCCAGAGAAGGCCAGCGGCGAGGCTGCGGATATGGAGGCCGCCCGAGGCGCTGGGGTCCCGGCGGGCTCCGGCCTGCACCCTGGGGCCGCTGAGGCCTCCGAGAAGCTGCAGGCGGAGCTGGAGACCCGGATTCGCGGCTTGGAGGAGGCGCTGCGGCAGCGAGAGCGGGAGGCG